CCCACGAATATCAAATCTAGGGTTGGCATCCTAAAAAACCCTAGGGGGCAAATCGACTATAAATAGGGAGGGGGTCACCCCTTGAAAGTAAGCAAGAACTACGCTTTCAAGTGTCTTACTTGTTTAGTGATCTCTCATCTTCTTAGGCATCGGAGCCAGTGTGATTAAAGTCACATCGGATTAGGATTTTGTTCGATTTTGCAGGTATTTGGTCCCGAAGTATTCGAGTTGGTGCGTAGAGCGGAGAGAACTGGTCTACCAGAATCCCAACATGAACGCTATTAATGTTGATCTCAACAAACTAAAATAAAAATGGAAAAACTACCTAACATCCAAACAAATTTACCCCTTTCAACCAATCGACACAACCATTTGGTCTTTTCTTTTTTGTTTTTTTCACTCATTTGAATCAATATGAGATAAAATAGATTTTCCAAGATCAATAACTACTAAAACTTGCACAAATAATTTATATTCCACACCATATAAATGATAAGGTATTTTTTTCCATACCTACAAGTACATAATAATTCTTTAAAGAAAAAAGTTCTAAAAAAAATCTTTAAAGAAAAAAAAAAGTATATAATAATAATAATTATTATTAGGTAAAAAGTGCCACGAGTTAGAAATCCATCGAGCCACTTGGGCTGGGTTGAGGAAAAAACCTAGAATGATCGAGCACACAGGCAATGGAGTTGAGTGCTCCTGAATGCCTATAGATGACAGCCGATGAGAGGGTAATGACACCTTGTATCCATACTGCGATACATTCTCAGGGGGCATTTAGGATGCTATCACAATCACTATTAACGAGAATAGTGGGAAAAGTAGAAGATGTCGGTGGTCCCCATAGACCCCTAACGCGACATATTACTTTCTTGTGGATGCCTCAAATGGAGGAGACCCCTTCTCGATCTGTCTCTCCCTCACTCTCTCTCCGAAAAAGAGCAAATGTAAGCCCCATTTTCCCTACAAAAATCCTTATAATGATCCTGCACATACTCTCAAGCAGACCTCACTCCCACGTGATTATTTACTTCTTACTCTTTCTACTCCATACTCATTTGGTCCCCTACTTGAGTTCTAACTTAAGCATCCGAGTTGCATTCAGTAGAGTATCACACCGATGTAAGATTTATACGTAGAAGTAACCAAAACTCGGAGATGAAGATGTACAATGTGATATCTGCATGGCACCTACGTGGAGATCATCAAAAAGTCGACATCAATACTCATAATAAAATTCATAGCAATGCCAAATATTAAAATGAACAGAAAAATTACACACTTTTCTATAGCCATAACTCCTACCCTTTTCAACGAAAAGGAAATGGCGGCATATGAACCATACAGGGGAAATTTTGAATTTGTTGTTTTCCGAGTATAATTTCCTTTTTTCTATATATTTATATTTATTTTTATTTTTGAGTAGAACATGGGAAGATAGAGATCTAATTCACAACCTCTCCAAGTAGGAGATATATACCAACTAAATTATGTTCGCTTTGATTTTTTTCTTATATCTCGATTCTATTAGTCCAACCTGTAAAGTGATATTACTTCATTTCTCCAATATATATTTTCATTTTACTACAAGCCAACCCGATAAGGTGATTGCATTAATTGGCTGACATAGACATCTAAGAAACTGCCCGACTATTAACCAATATTGACAGCCAGAAAAAAATTCCCTTTTTCGGACCAAAAAAAAAGAACGCCCACAAAAGTAATTAAAAAATGTCGGACCTCGTCGGGCACGTTGGGATTTAATAAAAGCGCCGGGCTATTGCATTATTACCTGAAAATATATATTATATATATATATATATATGGCCTAACAATTATACCTTTTTTTTTTCCGTGGAAACTACAAAGCTATTTTATGTATTTCTATTTTTTAGATTTTCAAATATAACAAAAAATTTTAACTTATCAATAGTATATTAAATACTCATATCAATAATATATCATACATTTATATTAGATGTCTATCACATACATACTATATAGACACTCATATCAGTAGTATATCAGAGTTATATTATATACATATATTAGTAGCGAGATATATTACAAATGTATATCATTTGGTAAAGTTGTTATTT